GTAATATTCCCCCCCACTTCCTGGTGCCATTGTTAAATATCCCCCCCACACTTCCGAGTGGCATTGTAATATTTCCCCCCTACTTCCAGGTGCCACTGTAACCAGATAATCAATGTGATTCACTTCACCTCTCAATGGTAATAATGTTATGGCTGATCAGTGTATAAAGTATTGCACTACAATATATATCATTGCACTAGAGTAGGTTTCTTTGATCTTAAAAGAAACCATCTATCTTACACTTCCAGTCACACAGTACAGAGTGTGAATCTGGTCCCCAGCCCCCATCACTAGAGATAACATGGTAATTGAGGCCTTGGAAACTGCTGGGCCTGTTACCATGGCAGTGGTCTAGAGGGGGAAGCTGGAGAAAAAAGTCTTCTTTATACACATCCATTAACGAGTTTGCAGCAGGCACTGAAACTGGCCATAGAGATGATGAACTAGACATTTCAAACCAGGAAAAGGATCTTACTGAGCAATAAAAATATATTGAAGTTGTATTCTGACACTAGATTCGAGTTATACGGGTCTGGACAAAGTGTTGGTTTTCTTTTGCTAACCAGGAGCTAATATTGAGACTTTGCCAATAGCAGACATCAGGTTTTATCTTTAAATGACACAAGATTGATTGCTTGCCACGTTCAACAAAAGCTTTGTGTACACCGGTAGAATTATGTTCAAAAACTGCTGTTTTTGGAATGTTAATGTGGTCAAATTGATGATCGTTTTGGAATGTCGTGATGAAAAAAATCAAAGGAGTGGAATGGAAAAAAATGTCAGATGCACAAAATACAAAATATGGTGAATGTGGTTTTCCTTCAGGAAATGCCATGCATTCCAAAATCGAATGTTAAAATCAAAGGAAATTTCAAACGATGTTCATCAAGTCTCTGATGGCATTATCCAGTCCAACGTTTTTATATGAACGTTGGTACAGAATGCGAACCGTGTACACTACCAGCATAAAGATTTTCTTGTGGATTAGCTGCCTTTTCCTCAGTTTTTAACAACCAGTCCATGCCTTACTAATGACTATGTCATTAAGTCTACACTAGTAGTCAAGCTGGTTATACAGTTGTAAAGTAATGCAGCATTGGTCAAACTACCTCCACAGGGTTTCTCTTAGGCAAGGGACATGGATTCCCCATTATATCCTTTTCCCCACTAGACCCATCCTTTGGGGTCTTGAAGCTGGTAATACCATATGTACTGTTGGCACTTCCTAACATGTGTGAATTTGTACAATAATTCAGCTACATGCAAAAGTCAAAATAGATCTCCTGGGGCACACCAGAACCTCAGAAGTGAACCAGAAAAGTGAATCTAGATGAACTAGAGGCCAAAAGTGCCTGTAGGTGCTACATTTCTAATCTGCTCTAAAAATATGAAAAAGTTAACACACTTTACCTCTAATAAAGAGTATCCTACGTCCTGCTGGCTAGTATAAAAATCCTTCCTTCATTGATGCCAGATCTTCCTTACAGTGGTGAACCTCCGGCACTGTATGGATTAATGGCCATATCTGTTACAGTGAAGGCTCCACGCTATACACGCCTATCATTCATATGCCCTCCTGAGCAAAGTGCATATGAATGATAGGATTACCCTTGCCCCTTCACAGAATGCCCTTGTCCATTCACAGAACGCTTTGAAGGGAGGATTTTTACACTAACCAGCAGGATATAGGATATTCTTCATTGGAGTTAAGTTATGTCCCTGGTACTGTATTTCCCCCAAAAAATGTAAACTTTAAAGGGAAATAAAAACTATTCTTTCTTATTTTGCAGAAAGAATGAGCAAGACAGTATCATACACAAACATGAATAACGATAGTCATAAACCAAATAACAGATTTTCTGACACTATGGACAGCCATGTGCTTCTAGCAGAACTAGAGATGCCAGGAGTTAGGTCATTCTCTTGCAGTCATTACTGCCTTTCCTGAGATGCACCCCCTTCCCCCCATAGTATTGCTGTAAATGCTTGGGTGATAGGACCAAAGTTGGACCCCAAAAATTAATCTTCATGCATTGGATCCTCCTGCACATCCTACGTCCTTCAATGGCTATGGCCTGCTTCAAAATCCCAATTAAGTACATTGAAGCTAGCCTTTTTGAGCCGTATATATATGCCCTGACTTGCTTTTTAAATGCAAGCAGTGCAAGTACCTGAATTTAACTTTGAACCAGCCTCTTGCAGTTCCTTTCCAGTTTAGACTGACTCACAACAAACCGGAGGAGGTTGAAGCAGCACAAGGAGCAAGTCAATTGTGCTGCAATGCAAGGAGACGGAGAGATGAGCTCATCAGTGCTGCTTGTTCTTTTACTGTCCAGTGGCAGGGAGGGGGCGAGGAAGGAGACCTGCAAGTGTTACCGATCTGCAGCAGAGAATAATCAGGCAGGCCAAATAGGCAGGGCACGCCTATTATTATTACAGCTTATTAGTATTATACAGGATTTATATAGCACCAACAGTTTGCGCAGCGCTTTACAATATAAGGAAGACTTTACAATATAATTCAAGACAAGATGGTAAGGAGGGGACTGTCCCTGAGGGCTTACAATCTAAAAGCTTATTAGCTGAGACCTTAATAGCTTTTTTATGTCAAATAAACCTTAGCTTTTTCCTTTCTTATTGGCCTTTAGAAAAAAATTGTTCTTTTCAAAATTGGGTAAAATGTTTCATTGTTTTGTATGTAGAATTAGTTATTTCAAGTCCCTGCAAATCATATTTAATATATTATAATGGATATAAAAATGGTGTGTAAATGATTAACATTCTTCTTTAAACAATTTTAAATAAGTGATCTGCACAAAAATCATATCCACCTCTGCAAGAATTCCATCCTTCTTTAGGAGTTAGTCCTGTGTAAGGACAATGGACTCAGAGAGGAGAGGCATGCTGCAAAAATCCCGGATTAGGAGAGAACCAGTTTTGAATGAACAAGGTTTCTAACCTGTCCAATCACACTTTCCCTCAAGAAGACTCAGCCAACAGTGCTTGGTGGTAACCCATAGACATATAGAAAACATGGCAGCTTTACATTAATGGCATCCACTTTGCCATGACTGGTTGCTTAGCATAACAATCAGCTTGGAAATAATTGTTTCCAAGAACCGCAGAGTGTTTAGTGCTGTTTCCTAGAAGACAGTTTCTCTTCTGCCACCTTCTAGTCAAGTCTATTCTGTTGAGAGTCTGTCTTCATGTTTTTCTCTAGCTAAAATTGATTTGTTGTTTTGTGATTTTTATTACTGTATGTGACTCCATTGGGGAGTTTTTCCATCATTTTCTCCCCTTGTGACAACAGATGGTAGGGAATTGTCACCATGGCAGGAAAGACTCAACAGCACTCAAGCCATTTCTAGGAGTTCTAAGCCTATCGCACTCTAGTAAAAGGTGTGTTTTTGTATATGTTCCCATTGGAGAGATTTGCCATCATTTCTTGTCCTGATAGTAAATGAATCACCTCAAGAGGCAGAAAAAAAAACCGACGGAGGCTCTAGTGTCTAACCCAGGGGTAGCAAACCTCCGGCCCTCCAGCTGTGGTGAAACTACAAATCCCATGAGGCATTGCAAGATTCTCACAGCCACAGACATGACTCCCGAAGAGAGATGCATCATGGGATTTGTAGTTTCACCACAGTTGGAGGGCCGGAGGTTTGCTACCCCTGGTCTAACCCTTTCTGCTCCTTCCAAAAAAATTAATGGTTGGAGTAATGAACTGTAGAAGGTTTTCCATCAAGATGTTTTCTGGCATCAGCAAACCATGTAAGCAAACTTGTAACATTGTGTAAGTGTCCCTCAGAATAGGAACAGCTACCAGTCACTGAAGCAAAAGACTAAATGAGATTTCAAGTATATACAGTGGGAGTAAATTTATCAAAGCTGGAGCAGATTTGCACTGCAGCCAATCAGCTTCTCTGCCTCATTTTCAAATCGTACCCGAGCAAACTGAAGAGAGATGCTGATTGGTTGCCATGGGCAACTGCTCCAGATTCTGTTTGCTCCAGTTTTGATAAATCCCCCCCTAATATCTTTTTTTACGGGGGAAGCACACTGTGAAAAACTATATAAAAATTTAGGAGGGGCCTATTATATGGTGGGTGTTATCTTGTACAGTGTGTTTGAACAGTGTAGTAGTTAGATTGTGGAGAATAAGGTTTAAATGTTTTAGTTTTTTTTCAAGTTATCACCTATGCTGCACAACCAAAACTATGCCGTGCTGGATGAGATCAACCACAGCTGTTGTCTTTACAGATAACAATGAGATTAATTTTTCAATCAGCTGTAGCAAATTTTTCGACCAACCATCACTTAATCTAAAATTGCCTTATTAGAAGGCCCCAGCCAACCATAATAATGTTTTTTAAGAAATCCTCTGTTTTGCCCATGTAGGCCAAAGCAACAACTTTTCTTTCATTCCCCCCTCCGGGTAGAGCATGCTTGCATTTCAATTCTCTCTCCCACTGCTCTGTTAGGCTGCCATGGGCAAATCAAAATACCCAGTATTAATGCATATGGGGCATGTGACTGACTTCCCTTTCTCTCATCTGGCAGTGATGGTGCTTGCTGAATGACCACTTAGGAACCATCACGGTCACATGGTGATGGCCAGTTCCCTCTTAACAGTGTCACATTTAAGTGAACCTGTTGCTTTGCCTTGAACAGGCACAGCAAGACTTCATGGTAGGTACCCTCAACCCAACCTCCACCCAAGTGTTCCACACGGCAATCAAAGAAAGAGTGCGTCATACACCAGACAAAACTTAAAAAAACTGTTTTATTTTTTTTTTTCCATCACAGGCTTGTTATCTTTTCAATATGAAAAAGCAACAGTAAAATAAAAAATAATTATGGCATGGGGACAGAAAGAGAAGAAAATGATGAACTGAACAGAAAATAAAGACAGGAAAAGGAATGAAACATCCACTGTTCACTTAGAGAAAGATTCTTCCCCACAATTCCTTCCATTTGCTAACAGCAATCTCATTATTTTTCTCTTTTGAAATACAATTGTTTCCTTATTAACCACAGGCCGAGTACGGCCATCCCAGGCTGTAGATTTTCAGGCCCAAGTCATTATCATAACCAAATTCTGCAATATTTAAAAATCCTGTGTGCTGTAAAGAGTGGTAAGTGCATTATTTTTAGATCCCAAGGACTAGCTGTTATATTGTAAACAATGACAGGCAAAGTCTTTGTTTAATGAGACCTATATCAAGCCAAGCTAGAATGGAGACATTTTTTTTCATGGTTCCCATTTAGTTGGTAAATAGGGAGATGGCAGTGATTGGTACATTTTATGTGTGTCCACAGTAATAACTTAAGGAAACGAAAGAAGACAGGAAACCACTTGTAAAAAAAAAGGACAAAGAAGCCACCACTGACCGGGGCTCCGAAAAGTAGAGTAAGGATTAGATGTTTCCAGGCTCTCCTACAATCTCGGGTTATAATTAGACATTTAACCAACCTGTTGCTACAGAGACCAGCACTCAGCCACAGGGAAAGGTTAAGGCTTTTGAGTTTAAGTAGGCCACCTTTTGATGGATCCCAAGTGATTAAAGCTTTGCAGGTCATCTAAGGAGCCTGCTACGGCCTACCAGCTGCATAACACCTCCAAAGACCAAACTGAAAACCTCAATGAGATGTAACCTGCTCCAACCAGGGCCTACGTTCATGGACTTTCCACAAAACTGAAGCAACATATACAGAGAAGGTATAGAGAAGCATAGGAAGCAAACACTAAAAATAATGAAAAAGGATGAAGGAATAAAACAAATGAAAATGTTCTGTAAAGACTTTTTCTCTCAGCCTGAGAATTAAGAAGGAAAGATGAGGAAGAAGTGGAGATGGATAGGGAGTAGTGGTGGTGAAGGTTGTGGTAGAGAAAACTCAAGCCTCATCTTCTGCTTCTTCATTGAAATCTTCCTCTTCTTCTGCTGTAGCATCTTGGTACTGTTGGTACTCGGACACAAGGTCATTCATGTTGCTCTCAGCCTCCGTGAACTCCATTTCATCCATGCCCTCTCCCGTGTACCAGTGGAGGAAAGCCTTACGACGGAACATGGCAGTGAATTGCTCTGAGATGCGTTTAAACAGCTCCTGGATGGCGGTGCTGTTGCCGATGAATGTGACTGCCATCTTAAGGCCGCGTGGTGGGATGTCACACACTGCCGTTTTGACGTTGTTGGGGATCCATTCCACGAAGTAGCTGCTGTTCTTGTTCTGGACATTAAGCATCTGCTCATCAACCTCCTTCATGGACATGCGACCACGGAACACTGCTGCCACTGTTAGGTACCGACCGTGGCGTGGGTCACAGGCAGCCATCATGTTCTTGGCGTCGAACACCTGCTGAGTGAGCTCAGGCACTGTTAGTGCACGGTACTGCTGACTGCCTCGGCTGGTCAGAGGAGCGAACCCTGGCATGAAGAAGTGGAGACGTGGGAAGGGGACCATGTTGACTGCCAGTTTGCGAAGATCGGCATTCAGCTGGCCTGGGAAACGTAAGCAGGTGGTGACTCCACTCATGGTGGCGCTAACCAGGTGGTTCAGGTCTCCGTAAGTTGGGGTGGTCAACTTCAGGGTACGGAAGCAGATGTCATAAAGGGCTTCATTGTCAATGCAGTAGGTTTCATCTGTGTTCTCGACCAGCTGATGGACAGAGAGTGTGGCGTTGTAGGGTTCCACCACAGTGTCGGACACCTTGGGGGAGGGCACAACGCTGAAGGTGTTCATGATACGGTCAGGGTATTCTTCCCGGATTTTGCTGATGAGAAGTGTGCCCATACCAGATCCGGTACCACCACCCAGGGAATGTGTGAGCTGGAAGCCCTGAAGACAATCACAGCTCTCTGCCTCTTTCCTCACCACATCTAGCACAGAGTCTACCAGCTCAGCTCCTTCTGTGTAGTGGCCCTTAGCCCAGTTGTTGCCAGCACCACTTTGTCCTGAGGAAGGAAGAAAAGTGGCAATAAGTATTAGACATACTCTTGGAGCTGTTACCGACATTAAGGGACAGTGATTCCTGACAAAGACATGTGAAACACTTTTAGAGTCTTACTAAAACTAGGTGTATGAGATAAGCAATCATATTAAACAGTGCGATATGCAAATTGTAAATGCAAACTGCATAAACCCATCTCATAGCAAGCGATCAGCTGGTAAAATATGGATTCTGGTTGGTTGCCAAGGGTACCGGACTTTGAACTTACTGATTTGCTCTTTACACTAAATAAGTCTTCAAATTCTGCTGCTGAGATACTGTATGTTCAGTAAACTAAGCTGACTTCCTGATACAGACCCCAATAAATGATATCATGGTATATAGCAACTTTTCTTTTGAGGTTTACTGATCCTTCATTCTCTTGTTACAAGCTTGTATGTCTGTTATTTTAAGCTTTAACTTTTATAAGCTTTTATATCTAAGTCTAATATGAAGGTTTAACATCTAATTAATAAAAAAGATCTTTTATTAACGTAATAAGAGCTTACCAAATACAAAGTTGTCGGGCCTGAATATCTGTCCGAAGGGCCCAGATCGGACAGAGTCCATTGTTCCTGGCTCCAGATCGACAAGGATGGCTCTAGGGACATATTTGCCACCTGGATATAGAAAAGAAAACAAATTAGATACAAATCTGACCACGGAAAGGCCGATACAGATGCTTAACAGTTGATTACAATCTATGACAGTGCTGGCTATGCCTTTGTTAAAGGAGAACTATGGGGTCAGGGCTTTTCCCCATAGTTCTCCTTAGGGTAACGGGAGGACACAAACTAGCGTCCTCCCGTCACCCTAAGCTCGGTATACTGCGTGCTACAACTCGCGGTATACTGAGACGCTGCAGCCGGGACGGATCCCGACATTACTGTCGAGATCCCCCCAGCTGCGTGATTGACAGTTGACTCTGCCTATCTAGAGGCAGAGCCAGCTGTGCCCGCCCCCTCCCCCAGTAGTTCCACCAGTCAGGAGGATCAGACAGGGGGGGGGGGGAAATCCCTGCAGGGAGCCGTGAGTGACAGTCACGGCTCTCTGCAGGGATAGATCGAGAAGTGAGCGAGTGACGCTATGTGTTCGCTAACTTCCCGATCTATTGAGCCGACCTGTGACAGTCTCATTGTCACAGGTCGGCTAGAACTATGAGGCCGAGTGATTTTCGCTCCCCTCATAATTCTCCTTTAACAAGTACATTTCTCAAAGGATCAAAGTCATTTAGAAGAATGCAAGTCACACCCGCGCCTGACATTTATAGCTCTAGGAATAGATACACCATATAAAACTCCAAAGCAGTTTTTTTAAAATGACAGTTATCAAGAAGCGCATTAGTAACCTTAATACAGTATACGGTGCAAGGAGCAACAATGTGTAGCAATCCATATTATGAAGTTCTCAGAAGAGGACAATGGCGGACATTTGTTAATGCCTATGTGACATTTTAGGGTAAAGATCCTTAAACGTATTATATTGTAACACTTTTTTTTTTTCCTTACGTCGGTGACAGTGAGTTGGTTGGATGCTACAAACTGCTGCACTGTATACATCCTAGTACTAGACCATGACCGTTTTATGCCAGCTAGGGGTCTATTTATAAATCTTCAGCCGAGCCATATGCCAGGCCAATGCCATCTGCGCGGCATTCTTGACACTACGTGCAGCCGAGCAGCATAGGACAAATGTATGCTACTTGGCTCCATCTAATGATGAGAATACCATTCGAATGACATTCACCCAGCATATGGTTCGGTGAAAGCTTTACACATAGACCCTTAAAACCTATGAGCAAGCAAGTCAATATAAAATAATAAAACAAATAGCTATAGATGTGCTCAACTACTGTAATCAAATGCACAACGTATAGGAAACCTGTGCTGGCGTTAATATTGGGGAAGCCATTGCCGAACTTTTTTTTCTGAGATGCTCATCTAATGATTTCAATCATTTTGGAGTCACCCACCAGGAATAAAATATGCAGACCAGGGGTATTGACTTTACTTGCTGCATGCATGCTTCCGGTCAGTAACTTGGAAGTTCTGAAGAGAAAGGATTAGCAAGGAAACTAGCATATTCAGTAGGAGGTTAGCAAAGGGCAACACCCGTATTTTTCTCAGCGCAGGTTTGCTTTAAACTATTTTGTTGGATTCTGGACCTTGGTAAAGCCTCCACGTATCTTGCTAGGCTGTTCCTTTCCTGACCAAGTCATGTATTGTTGTCATGGAGGAGGTCAGAGAATTAAAATATGTTTTGGGTGAGAGCTTCACAGGGGGACTCAAATTACCTGTTGCCTCGTTGTAGTAGACGCTGATCCTGTCCAGCTGCAGGTCGCTGTCTCCATGGTATGTCCCTGTTGGGTCGATTCCATGCTCGTCACTGATCACCTCCCAAAACTATGAAGAAAGATGAAATGAGCTTTAAGGGAAATGCCACTGAAGGTGCTCGGTTTCACCATCTGATCTACTGGCAGCCAGAAACAGGAAGTTCTAACCATATCCTAGTTCTGCTACAGAGCACTCAACTGCTTTTTTACATAAATACATCTGCAGACTTCGCTTAAAGGGTCTTCCTACCCAAAACTGATGTTTCAGTTACTGGTAGATGATGGAAGGGCTGGGCACCTCGCAGGAGCCAGGTAGTCAATGCTCCTTACAGCTGGCACCTAACTTCTGAGGTGTTCATGAAGTGAGCGAACGCAGGTATGTGTTCACTCACTTCCCGATCTACTGAGCCGACCTGTGACAGTCTCATTGTCACAGGTCGGCTAGAACTATGAGGTGAGTGAAAAACACTCACCTCATAGTTTTCCTTTAACAGCAGGGTTCACACATATGGAGTCTCAGAGAGGATCAGATCAGATGTGGGTTTACTAAAGTCATGTCCACTATGAGAGGGCCTCATCTGCCTACTGATTATACATGCTGCAGGAAGGTGAGTGAGACACCATGGCAATGGAGGACTAAGCCAAGAACCCCAGCAAAAACATTCTGCCCCATTGTAAGAAACCAGTGGGCCATTCAGCCCATCAGCATCCACCCACCATCACGTCATCTCTCGTAGTAGTTGGACTGACCCTTTAAATCAATTCAAGTTCACAGATCAGGGTGCCAACACCCAGGCAAACACAGTGACTTGATTGAACTGGTGGGTTTAAAGGGCCTTCTGGGAAATGCGAACAAAACATTCCTAGGAGCTCTGTGTGTATGAATCATGTGCAGTCTTGTGCTCTGTCTGTATCTGCGGCTCTACAATGTGGAACGCAGATCGACCCCCACAGTCTCCCTTCTGCTTCATTTGCACTGCGTGCTGTGGTTTGGCTTCCCCTCCCCCTCCCTCCACATCTACAGAGGAAGTTGGAGAACAATACAGCCTTACAAATACAGATGGGGGACGCAAGGGGATGTGACGCTGGGCCTGGTCACCCTAAATTATGTCACTGGCATAACAGGAGAGCAGCACTCCAAAAGAGCATTTCTCTCCATATCTATAGCTATCTATCTATACATCCATCTACCTATCCATATCTATAGCTATCTATCTATCTATCTAGCCATATCCATCCATCTATCTATTTCATACCTATCTCCTGTGTATCTATATATCTGATATTAAACCCACACACTATACACAGATCGTTGCTGATCATGGAAGAAGAAGGGGGAGGAAGGGGGGTGTAGGTTTACACCCCAGGGAGTGGCACTGCAGCTGTACCAGGCTGTCATCAGCATAGACTTACAATGTGTAGTAGTAGTACACATCCACTATCTGAGCCATCGGTCACGTTGCCAGCCCATAGTAATTGGTAGGTCCCCCCTGGTCCTATTTATAGCCACGGATCTGCACAATGCACGGCGCTTTAATCACCCAAATATCGTGGGCGAGGACAACTGGAGTTGTATTTCAGGATAATACTTTGGGACAACGCTATTTTTTGAAATATTAACATTTACAGAGCCAAAAATATGAAAATATATATTTTTTGTTGTTGTAAGGATTGGACATCACTACAATAATATTTGTAGGCAATGTATCGGATAAAATGTCAATATTTGTATATGTAAATGAGTCGTTGTGGATTCGCATACACGCTTCCCATAATAAAGATGTAGAATATCCATCCCTGCAGATGGCTATGTGATGTGGATACACACCCTTCCCTTAATCTTCCCTGTAATAGCATTACTGCTATGGGTGAGACCACTTCTAGCTGCAAAAAAAAATAATGCCTCCCAATTGAGTTTTTGGGATTTAAGAAAGTCAAAAATGTCTTTTTTTTTAAGGGAAACTCCCTCCCTATTTTAGAGGCTGCCTGAGAACAAAGACTGAAAACCTAGAGAGAAAGGAGGAGGTGGTCGGGGGAGGGGAGAAGCTCTTGGCGCCATAGCACACTGATCTCCTGTAAGCCAAGAAGGAAAAAAAAAAAAACGAAAAAAGATCACCGATCCAACTTAAATGTGCAATCATAATGGAATTTTTTGTTACACTAAATCCTATTGTTATATTTAATAAGTGATATGAACTTAAACATTGCGTTTTGCTCATTTAAAATGTCCAGCCTTGGCAATGCCCAGAATTAATTTTACAATAAAAAAAAAAAAGTGCACATGCAAATAAAATGTCACTGTTTCAAAAAAGTTTTTTATTATTGGGCGATGAGGGTAATTCAAGGCGCCTGATGTTTTCCTGATGGATTCCGTTCTTTTATACTGGAATAGTATCCGCTCCCTATTCAGCGTGTCTCAGTTTCCGGACACATGGCTCTGCAATGTGGCATTTAACTCTGCACTACGCATACGCCGGGATATAAAACCCATTCAATCATATAGCGGATCGCAGAGTCAAAGTAATAGAATTGATGAAATTCCCTTTACAACTGCCTCTGACGTGTAAAATGTGATACTGTGCAACAAATGTCATCTGAAATGGCATTCAATCAAAATAAAATGATCTGTAT